GGCCCCATTCTCACTATATGTCAGGACTCAGAGTTAATGAGGTCGAGTCTCTCTGATGTTGAACCCAGAACTGTGAAGTCCCTTGAGGCTAGACGGTGGTTAATTAAGTCACAGTGCTGGCTGATTGCAGGGGAGGGATAGGCCATTACTGAATGATTTACCCATATGTTCTAAGATGCGATGTTTAAAGTTGTGTGAGGTATTACTGAAGTATCCAACACTACAGCACGAACGCTTGTATGAGTATCAACACTTTTAAAAACTACATTAAAATTATTTCGATTAGTAAACGCAATTAAGAATTAAAACGTGGAAAGGAGTTCCTAAATGTATTATGCAGTTCTTCACAAATAAGAAAACTCATGTTTCCCAGTTAAGGGAAATTAATGTAATATATGTCCTTAAGTACTTTGTAGAATCATTATTTACTAATGTTTCATTGAAATTTCAAGTTTAATAAACTAATACTGGATAGTGAAAGTAACGCAGGATTAAATAAATAATAAAAAAAATACAATACAATGGCTTGAACGAATTTCCCAGATCCCGCTCAAAGGATTTAAGCCTTATAACCACGTTTCAGTCCATCCTTGGCCGAAACGTCGACTTCAATTTCCTCTCTTAAGTGTGCTTTGGAAAAATAAACACATAAGCAGTATAATGAGATCCTTCATTGACTTGTGACTTGATAAAGCACACACAGTGGGTCAGGTGGAGAAATATATATATATATATATATAAATATATATATATATATATATATATATATATATATATATATTATATATATATATATATAATTATATTGTGTGTGTGTGTGTGTGTGTGTGTGTGTATATATCCAGTAAGTAGCAAAGTAAGGTGAAAGAGGATAAGAACAGCAGCAGGCTAGCTGGTCCATGGTAGTGGTAGTAGTAGTTTGAGTAACAGGTAACTTATGTGGTGGTCGGGTTTATTGTCTGAAGGACTCATTCTATACTTCAAAGATGACGAAGCTGCCTTTTTTCTGTTTAAAATTGTATGAAAAAAATGAATAGTTTAGGCATATTTTGATATATATATGAAGTCTGTGTGAAGCATAATGTGAGTGCACCATGCAAAGGAGAAAAGTGCAACAAAAAAGGACCGGTAAATATCGTTCTTGCCTATTTGGGGCCAATTTTAATTTTCAGTAAATAAATATTTATACAAAAAAATTTAATGCATATATCAATTCTGTAGTAGTCTGGGTGTGTACAGAACGTTTTTATTGTCCTTCCAGATCAATCAGAAATTGTTTTATGGTGAGTCCTCCAAAGACAAGTCCAAATATCTCTGCATTTTGGAGGAAAGTGACTCAGATCCAGAGCCAGATCACCTGGAATTGCTTGACAGTAGTGATGAGTACTTGTCACAGGATGCTGAGGTGTCAAGTGATGATGAGGAGGAAGATAGACCATCCAAAAAGCCAAAATTCTCACATGCCAGTGCCAGGCAAGCTACTTAGATGCAAATTGTGCAGCAAACACAAACATCATGTCACATCCTCATTTTCCTTTGCCATATGCAAAGTAAATATATACATCAAGAAGGATAGAAATTGTACAAATTAGTGATCTAGAATGATTATTCTTTCTTAGGAAACTCAAGAATGTGGGAATTGAAAGTTATATCCCTTTGCAATGTGCCTATGTTGCTACTTGATTCATTTTTGTATTTTTTAATACTTACAAAATGTTTGAAAACAAGTTTATTTTGTCTTTGATGTTGTCTTTTTGTATAATAAAATTAAAAAATAGTTATTTGGTGTTTTATTAACAATTGCAACTTTGCAACATTTAAAAATGTTCACCCTTAGATAGGCAAGACCTACTTTTGTCGGTCTTCTCATATTGGCAATTGATTGAAAACAAACTTTCACATATTCCTTTGTATGGGCTCATTTACTTTATATTGAGACACACTATCCACTCATAGGGAAAAAACATTTCAAAATTCGAAATTTTCGTTTTTGCCTACCAAAGGGTTAAGGACATTTTCATAGTAGATCTGGTCTCATATCTCTCGATACCATATAGACTAAAAATCTATAATAGGTGAAAATGAACGACTATCACTTAACAAAGAGAAACGACGGAAATCAAACTGTGTTTCATACGAGTAACACGTCCAGTGTTCCATAAGAGTATCACGTTCAGTGTTCCATACCAGTATCACGTTCAGTGTTCCATACGAGTATCATGTTCAGTATTCCATGCGAGTATCATGTTCAGTATTCCATGCGAGTATCATGTTCAGTATTCCACACGAGTATCAGGTCCAGTGTTCCATACGAGTATCACGTCCAGTGTTCCATACGAGTATCACGTCCAGTGTTCCATACGAGTATCACGTCCAGTGTTCCATACGAGTATCACGTCCAGTGTTCCATACGAGTATCACGTCCAGTGTTCCATACGAGCATCACGTTCAGTGTTCCATACGAGTATCATGTCCAGTGTTCCATACGAGTATCACGTTCAGTGTTCCATACGAGTATCACGTTCAGTGTTCCATACGAGTATCACGCTCAGTGTTCCATACGAGTATCACGTCCAGTGTTTCATACGAGTATCACGTCCAGTGTTCCATACGAGTATCACGTCCAGTGTTCCATACGAGTATCACGTTCAGTGTTCCATACGAGTATCACGTCCAGTGTTCCATACGAGTATCACGTTCAGTGTTCCATACGAGTATCATGTCCAGTGTTCCATACGAGTATCTCGTTCAGTGTTCCATACGAGCATCACGTTCAGTGTTCCATACGAGTATCACGTCCAGTGTTCCATACGAGTATCACGTCCAGTGTTCCATACGAGTATCACGTCCAGTGTTCCATACGAGTATCACGTCCAGTGTTCCATACGAGTATCACCATCAGTGTTCCATAGTCTAATATCCCAAGATTGTCAATGAATAAATACAAAATTGGACAATAACTCGAAACAATGTCCTTTCGATTATTATAAAATTATCTAAACAACCACAAGCTTGTGATTTATGTGTGCGATTTATATGTGTATAAATCACAAGTAATTATTTTATCCTTTAGGTCCACTCATACCTAATAATCTCTTAATAAATTCTTCTAAATAAATATAATGTACACAGGTGTCCCTTATTACCGGTATAAACATCGGTTTACATGAAAATGTATTGAGTTGAGATTAACCTGTGTATATAATTTATAATCAAACATTTGACGTTGCAATCAGTTTTTACGCGTAAATAAAGCCGTTCGAATCAATAACAACATCACAACTAATATTTTTTATCTATTTTTTGGTAAAGAATTGCTCAATGTCGTAGTGAGGTTCCTGTAACCAAGACGAACTGTTGTTGATGTTCAGGATGAGAAACATGACAGTTCGTTCCTGACACTAAACATGTATCGCTAACGCAGATGACAGTGCAGGTCACTATATGGCTGACTGGATTTTCTGTCTCAGACATTGATTACATTCAGTATTTTTTAAAAAGCAATCAGCTCCTAGATTGCATATTATATTCGAAATGGAATTATCTTGGCGGTACGAGCCAGAGTTTTGGTTCATTAAGTGTTTTATTTTATGGTGAGTTCGCAAACATTTAATGATGTCAAGTAAGATATCAGTAAGTACAGTGTCTGCACTCTGAAGGAGGGGTGTTAATGTTGCAGTTTTATAACTGTAGTGCAGGCATGCCTCTGGGAAAACAGTGATGGAGTGAATAATGATGAAAGTTTTTCTTTTTCGGGCCACCCTGTCTTAGTGGGAAGCGGCTGATGTGTTAATAAATAAATAAATAAATATCAGATCTTTCTTTTGGGACTACGATTTTTCACATAAGCCAAGTCGATGGAATAACTAAACATGCATAAATGTGTGACATTTGTGTTAGACTGCTGTTCAACTTGTATTAAAATGTAATATTTAGCTCTTCGAACTGCCAAAGGATTACCAGTGTGACCATGAAGAATCCTGCCGCATTCATCACAGTGAACGGCAATTCTTAATAATTATGAGTTTCACTGTATAATCGTTTTTAAACACAAGTCTCTCTCTCATTATAGTGCTTGAAGTGCTTTAGGTAATACACTGAGGTTTTCATCGATAGAGAGAATCAAGATATTTTACAGGAACTATGATAGCCTCAGTTCTGTCGAGAAAAAGAAATTTGTTTTTGAGGTCAGATCCTTTTCATCGATTTTGTTAGGTTCATCAAGACTCTCCGGATAATATCTTTGATGCCTTAATGATCAATGTTCGAAACACTTCTCTTAACACTCTTCTCACAGCCTGTGAGATAATGTACAGTACAGATGAACATACATTTAGGTTGGTTCCATCTTCGAGAGTTGGTTTTCCCTCATAAAGCTAAAAAAAAAAATTGGAATAAGGTCTACGTCATCTTGCGAAGTGGCTATTTGCCTCTTACATGGAAGATCAGTTGTAGGGAGTAGATCTCCACCTAAATAAATGAGATCCTCACCTGACTAAAGGAACTGAAAAGGGCAGACCTTTACCACACTCTGGACTGAAACATCGCGAACAACCTTAATCTGAATGTCCGCAAATGTATGAGGCAGACCTTCGTCTTACTGTGATCTTCACCTGACTCTGGTAAGCTGTATAGGAAGATCCTCACTTAACACTGGATAGTTGAATGGACAGACCATCATCAAACTCTGGGAAATTGTATGAGGAAAACTGTCATCTGATTTTAGAAAGTTTTATGAGTAAAGACTTTGTCTTGACTTTGGATAGTTGTATAGATAGAGACCTTAACTGCGTTCTGACCCTGGATATTTCTTGATAGATAAAATCATTTCTATTATTTTGTTTCTACTGACATAGTCTTTCCTCCTATAATACATATATGATATATTAAAATATATAATACTTTTGTAGAAACCAGTGATAACATTCAGCCTTCCCCCACAAAAAAAAAGACTGGAAAAATGTGGCTAAAAATTAGTAATGCTTGTATTTTGTTTTTAGTTGTGAGAACGGAGAGCTGCGATCTGACTGGACGTGCGACTGTGACCCGTGTTGGGAGGGTCATTCCTGTCGTACCTACGGTAAGACAACCGTACCTATTATATTTTACTCTGTACATTTCTTTTATTTACACAGTAGTGTTACAGTGGTGGACTAAAATTTATTGTGTTTACAAGTTAGGAGCTGCTGCCTACCACCTTAGTTAATTTATATGATTCCCCTACTGCCTACCACCTTAGTTAATTTATATGATTTCCCTAACATAATCTATCACGTGGCTTTAATTATATGTAAACCTGAAACATTTACATATGACACAGTAAATTACATTATTCTGTCACTTTTCTAGTAATGAATATATATGCCTGTCAACATTGTTACATATTTTGCAGTCTAATTTCTTTTCTGTCTCTGCTTCTGTCTGTCACTCTGTCTCTGTATCTCTCTCTCTCTCTCTCTCTCTCTCTCTCTCTCTCTCTCTCTCTCTCTCTCTCTCTCTCTCTCTCTCTCTCTTCTCTCTCTCTCTCTCTCTCTCTCTCTCTCTCATCTCTCTCTTCTCTTCTCTCTCTCTCTCTCTCTTCTCTCTCTCTCTCTCCTCTTCTCCTCTCTCTCTCTCTCTCTCTCTCTCTCTTCTCTCTCTCTCTTCTATCTATCTATCTTCTCTCTCTTTCTCTCTCTCTCTCATCTCTCTAACTGAATTTTATTATATTCTATTTTATCTATCTCTCATCTCGTATCTAATGGAATTTTTAATTTATTTTATCTTCTGCTAAACTAATATTCTTGCTAAACACTAATTGGTAAATGTGCTCTTAAATGTTATTTAGAGATACATATAGTGACTGTCTAGCCTTTTCTCATAATGCAAGTTGTAAAGTAAAAGGACACAAGTGCAACTAATGTCACATTAGTTGCACTTGTGTCCTTTTACTTTACATATTGTCGGTAATTCTACCAACTTTATTATAATGCAAGTTCCAACTATGAGTGGAGAAAAATACACTAAAAACCTTCTCTAGAATATCATAGCTTATCCACATAGAGGGGTTACTGTCAGCCAAACATTTGCTTATTCCTTTGGTCATGGTCTATCCACGTCAGGTGGTGGTAGTGTTTTATTAGCCAGGAAATAGGATACGTGTTTCCTGACACGAGTCAGTCTTAGCCATCTATCAATGCCACGAATGAGTTCCTCTCATGTCTTATTATGTAGATGAATGGTTCAGAGAACCGACAAGTTGGTAAATTAGACACATATACAACACTTAAAACATAAGAAAGGAGGAACACTGCAGCAGGTCTGCTGGCCCATACTAGGAACGTCCTTTACAATCCATCCCACTAAGAAAATATTTCCCCAGCCCAATTTTCAATGCTATGCAAATCTCACTCAAATCCAACCCCTCTCACTCATGTATTTATCTAGCCTAAATTTGAAACTACCCAACGTTTTAGCTAAACTGAGTATGTATAATGAAGAAACGTTTCGCCACACAGTGAATTCGTCAGTCCATACAAAGAAGAATGGTGAAGAACAGGAGGAGTTTGAGGTAATGAAACCCTCAGCCTTGAGTCGATGCAATCAGTCCTGAAAAGAATACATCATATGTGCGAAGAAGTGGCTTATATACTCCTATTCTTCACCATTCTCCTTTGTATGGACTGATGAAGCCACTGTGTGGCGAAACGTTTCCACAGTAAAGATACCCAAGTGTTACACTTGTGTCTAATTTATCATATCATGTGATGTAAATTTCCCAGTTAACAAATTTCCAAATTTTATGACTCCTTAAACTGAACATACATAGACATGAAAATAATTTTTGTCATGTAACATTTAGGTGGCCTTCAACTATATATTTGTTTAGCAATAACAAAAAAATTTTAATTTTAAGAAACATTTTAGATATTACCATACCAGTGAGACTCCCTAACACGCACTTATGTAAGGTATTACCTGGTATAAACCTTGGTAATAATTACCAACAAGTAGGTTTGGAAAAATACGTCAGCAAATACTGGAACATATTTATTAGAAAACGTTTCGGTCTTGACCTTGATCACTTCTGAAGTGAATCTGAAGTGATCAAGGCCTCAGGACCAAAACGTTTTCCAGTAAATATGTCCTAGTGTTTGCTTACGTGTTTCTCTAAACCAAGGTATTACGTGTATTACGCGCTAGTACTAACAACCAGGTAGATCAAAGGGTGCTCTCAGAGGGTTCTATATCACTAACCTTAATATAAAGGAGATTTAAATAATTCACTGAGGATATAGATATGTATTAAATTTAATATCAATATTTATGTTATTCAGAAGGCCAGTACGCTATCTCTTTTAATAAAATGTTGCTAGCGCGTCGGTCTGGAGTTTTATAACTCCCTGATCGCGGGTTCTAACCCCGCCAGTGGTAGGGTTTCTTTGCAATCGTGTAATTACGATTTCGTGAGTTAAAACAGACTGGACAACAGTCACGGAACTGGCATTAAGTGTAGTTACTCCACAAGTGTGGACAAGCAATATACTTAAACAGTAATTAAATCGCTACTCGCTGGCTTCGCACTGAGCAAACCTTCAGTTTCCTCGTATCAGCTGTGCTGCTTACTTACATGACTTCACATAATATAGAAATAGTTATGTGCATATCTGTACATTCATATATGCATGTATATACTTGTGCGTATGTATGCATGCATATACTTGTACATATGTATGCATGTTCAGATGTATGCATGTGCAGATGTATGATGTACATATTTATTCATGCATATATTTTGCTACACTTGCGCATGCATGTATGCATATGTTTATGTGTATGTAAGTATGCACACATATTTTACACGTATGTACACTTTTGCATATTTAGGTGTATGAATGAATATGTTTGTGCGTACTGGTGTTTGAATTCATGTATGTATACATGTGTTTAAAACACATATATATGTACTGCCGAATAGGTAAATTTGGTCAATTAGCAAGAACTCATTTAAAATTAAGTCCTTTCTAAAATTTTCTCCAGTACATATAAAGATATATTTTTTCATTTATGTTAATATGTATATTAATGATTTTGTACCAAAAGACTCTTAAGAAATTTACCTAACCTTATTATAACAAGCGTAATTTAATTTAGCCTAATCCAACTAAATATATTTTACATAAGTTTACAATAATTTAATAATAACAAAAACAATTAAATATATATTTTTCGTTAGATTCAGAAGGATTTTCGCGAAATTATTGCATACACAATTTTTCTCATGCCCTATTCGGCAAGAAGTGTGTTGCCATTTAAGCCAAAATCGCAAGTTATACTTGTTCGGCACGACATATACATTCATATTTGAAAAACAATCAGTGTGAGAAAATAATACAATTCCAAGCGTTTTCGAAATTTCTCACATTATCAAGGACCTGTAAAAAATAACAGAGCAGCAGCAGACTTAGAAGGCTGAGATATCACATCACATTCGACTTTAGACGCGTCCCATTGTGATGCTGGTGGGATGGTCGAGGACTTGTCAAACATAGCTTAAATTCTTTCTAAATTTCATTAATTATAAATGAATCTAATTTTATAACTTTATACTAATATTCATATTAAAATCAAAACTATTTTTTATGTAGCTTGATATAAGTATATTTCTCTCAACCATAAACCTGTTTGATACAAATTTCTTGGCCTTTAGAAAATTCAATTGAATGGTAAAAATCTCTCACAAGAATAAACAGAGCTTTAGACTCTAGTTCCGTTCTAATGCTATATTTATATTGTAATCATAGTTCAAGGCCTTTCCCATGATTTTAAGTTCATAATAAACAGAAAACCATTTTTTGAGAACATTGCGTATTTGCAGCCCAGAGTTCGTAGAAGAAATCTTAATTAGATGATGAAATAGATGATGATTTAAAATTCTTAACTGATTAACTCTTTAAAATTGCTAGAAATACAGGACAAGGAATTATAATCAACCAAGAATATGTTGGTTCTCCCTTAACTTGAAAACCTTCTGGATATACCTTCTCTAAAATTAAAGTTGTATTTAAAACTCTTGATACAGTAAACAATCTTCTGATTAAAAATTTCCCCAAAATACTGATGGCTGTGTCTACAAGATTTCCTATAAAAAATATAATAAAGTTTATTACGAACAAACTGGGAAAAACCTTGAACTAAGATTACAACAAAATAAATGTAGCATTAAAGTTGGACAAGAGTCTAATGTTTTTATTCATGTGAGAGATTTTAACAATCCAATTAATTTCCAAAAGGTCGAGAAAGTTGTATCAAAGATGTCTATTGTTGAGAGAAATATAATTGAATCAAACTTCATAAAAAATTGTGTTGATTTTGATGTGAATATTGGTTTATGGATATACAGATTAGATTGATTTATAATTAATAAAACTTACAAAGAATTTACGCTATATTTGACAAGACCTCAACCATCCCACCAGCATCATAAAGGAACAGGTGTAATATCACCCGTGATATATCAGCCTAATAAGTCCTCTGATGCTTTATTATAGGTCCTTGATAATGTGAGAAATGACAATAAGGCTTGGAATTTCACTATAGTTTTTACAGTGGTTGTTTTGCACATATTGATATCACCTATTTAATGTGATCTTATTACACATTCATATTTATGCATACATTTGCATATATACTGTTTGTGTCCATCACCACCACCACAACTGCCTCCATGTAACCACCACACCACCACCACATCCATCACCACTACTACCACCACCAAAACCACCCCACCACCAACATTACCATCACAATCACCCCTACCACTATCACCACCACTACAGCTGTCGCCACTGCCACCATCTCCACCACCATGTTTATAACCATCACAAGCTCTGTTACCACCACTACCATCATCACCATATTCAACTCCATTACCCCAACTCCCACCATTACCACAACCTCCATGACCACCACCACCTCCATTACCACCACCATAACCGCCTCCATTATCACCAACACTGCCTCCATTACCACCATCACCACCGCAACCTCCATTGCCACCACTACTACCACCACCTCCATTGCCACCACCACCTCCATTAC